GTATATATGTATGTATGTATGTATGTAAACTGAACCTACATGAGACCTAATTGTTTTAATTAATAATACACAAAACAATAATGATTCTTGCTTTTTTTGCAGACAGCATCAACCTCTGATATTTAGTTTTGTTTCATCTAACAGATTTAGTGATCTAGATAAATGTTTGCATTTAGAACAGCAACATATTTATAACTGGTTAAAGCAGGAATGGGGTGCCAGGGTTGGTTTTAAGGACTTATCTTGTCACTGTAAAACCAAAGCACAAGCTGAGGCCTCATTACTGGCACAAAGTCGATGGAGTTCAAGCAATGGATCACATTTATTTTGCCAAATGTACAAGAGAAAAACTATTTTTGTCTCTTCTGGTTTTTGTTCCGACACCACAGATTCTTTGGCCAAAGAGCAGTTTTGTTTTTTCTGACTCTGCCAGGGTTATTCCCCATCCTCGATCCGGTTTGTGGTCTTCATGGACCACAAAGATCTCATGACGCAGTCATGAAGAGGAGGGTGTGAGACCTGTTGCCTCTGCAACCCGACCACAGACAACTAGTAAAAGACAGCGATGGAACAAGGTACCAAAATGAGTTATTTCCAAAAAGTAATTGCTGGGACTTCCAGGCAAATTCATCATGTACCCTCCAGTTCAACAAGAAATGTGAGGGCAGCGTTGAGCTGCTGAGACTCCATATTACCCAAAAATTAGGGTTTTTTTGTAAATCTGTGGAGCATTTTAAAGGAACTTAAAATAAGCATATAAAAAATCTAAATTAAAATGTGTWGCAGCCCAAGTACATAAAGTGATTTATATTCTAGTACAAGTATCACAGGTACTCAGCTTCTCCTCTAGTGATACTCTGAAGAAACTTTCATATTTACAAGTTAAAACTAACTAAACTAATTAAATGTCATAAGCTGAACTTTGAAGTAAAGCTAAAAATCAGAAAAATTACTTATAAATAAATAAATGGTTCAAGAAAATTACTAATTTCTCTCCAAACAGAAGTGCAACAGAGAACATGATGCAACAAAAAATGTGAAATATTCTGGGTTAACGTTGTCTGCAATAAAATGGTGTCTTCTTTTTCCTAGTCTAGTTTAAATTTGTAAAACATGACTAGATTAGGTTGTTTTTAAGCTTTTAAGTCAATTAGCAAAGAGCACAAACATTGGGCCTCATGCAAGAACATGTTCGTATTCTTATCCTAAATTTTTCTTACTTTTGTTCGTACAAAGGG